AAACGTAACTTCTAGCATGTTAATTCTGTTGTTTAATATAATAATATCCATAGTTGAAACGTAACTTCAAGCATGTTAATTCTATTTTTTAATATAATAATATTCATAGTTGAAACGTAACTTCAAGCATGTTAATTCTATTTTTCAATATAATAATATTCATAGTTAAAACGTAACTTCTAGCATGTTAATTCTGTTTTTCAATATGATAATATCCATAGGTGGAATCGTTAACGTCAGTGTATCTTATCTTCGCTTTCAAAATTTATGAGCATCGTGAGGTTCAACTTTGAAGACTTGAGATGGTAGACTAGGCCTTTCCCAATTACTAGTTACCCTGGAAGCTTGTTTCATATGAAATGAAACTGATGGGCGCATTTCCTGCGAGACCTGGTGGCTGTTTGATAATCTCAAAGATCTGAGGACAATTTCGCTCATTGTCGAACAGTGCGAAGTTCGTCTGAGGGTATCATTTCCTAAAGGGCGTTTCGCTCTCGTACGACAGACACCACCACGACGAGAAAACCATCGACAACATGTGCGTTTACTAGAAAATAAAGTAAGAGAATAAACATAAAATTTTTGGTTTAAAACATTTATGCATAAATATATAAAATACTAATTATTTTCGCTACCACTCTAATATTTTGAACATTAATGAAGCTATTTATGTCGTCTTTATTTTATTTATGCCTACACAATCAAACAATGTACAATGAATTTTCTTACCGTATATTTCAAAATTAAGTTATCATTAAATTGACCAGTAACTTAACTTCTTCCATTCTTATAATGATTTTTTGTACCATTCAAACTAAACATAATCGACAGTTTCCAGATTAATTAGACGTTAATATTGATAAAACAAAAACTTACAATTCCTATTTGAATCGAAAATAGCTACACAAAAAGATGTCTCAGTTGTGCTATCCCCACCAGGGGAAACCTGGTTTTTAGGGTTAAAAGCCTACAGACTTGTTGCTGAGAGGGGGATGAGGGGCACAATAATTTAACTGGAATTTTATTAAAATACATATAAATTCGCTACTTGGATATCTATTAAAAATATTTTTTTCATAATTTTAAGTAAATAGTAAAGCATGTGATAGAATCTCATAAGGTAAAACAATGTAATATCATATATTAAATATATTTTTCATAATGTTTAAGTAAATAGTAAAACATGTGATAGAATATCTTATAGTTAAACAATGTAATACCATTTATTAAAATATTTTTTCATACTATTTAAGTAAATAGTAAAGCCTGTGATATAATATAGTTAAACAATGTAATATTATTGCTTTTTTTTGTAGTTTTCTCTTAAACATTTATATAAAGTCTGTTTTGACTATGAATTTTAATTTGCAGTTGACCTAATGCTTGGTATTTTCAACCCGCACGGTACCTTATGCGACACATAAGCTAAACCTTAAGTTTCAGGCATAGCAATCCCTAAATTAGAACTGCTGATAAGAGTGAAGTAAACAGGTTAGCATCACCCGCCGCCTACAGTGAGATGCTTGTAGTCGAACAGCGGGTTCCACTGTAGCTTTATACCATAAAACAACAACAACCGAATAGAGTGGTAAACTGGAGCAGTTACAGTTATAAGGTCCCTTCTACAAAAAAAAAAACAAAACGGTTAAAGGGCTGTCCAGGTGCATAACGAGGCTAGAGCCTTGGACTTTCTGATCTGCAGCCTTGCATATTAACCATTAAACCATTCAGTTGATTAAAACTATTAGTCTGAGTTTGGTTTTTTTTTTCTCGCTCTCTACCTTTAACACTATGTTGTTGTTTTTCTTTTGACTTTAGGAATACATGGTAAGTAATGAATATCTTAACCCTTAAATAACACAGGCCTGTGATGGTTTTACATGTTCTACAGTAATTCCTGTACGCTGAATTCGGAAATGATATCCATTTTTCTCCATCACGTACATATTTTTCACAAAAGGTCATATGTACCTTTACATAAGTGAATCATTTTCATTGAAATCGGGTCACCTTTTGTTATGCTTAAAATGTTGACAACCACTGGCTATAGATTTAGCTAGACCAATCACGACGTGAGTCTTATTGATCGTCTTAGAATCTACGATAAACATACCGCTAGTATATAAACAGTTAACAAGCCGCATAACGTGTCATTT